AGGCTCTAGTGTTTCAACTTCTTTATTTCTCAAAACCTGTACATGTCTCAAGGTAACAACCTTTCCTTGTTTAATTTAGGTTGATTTGCAATTTCTTTGTATGTATGGCTTATATATGAAGAAAGAGTGATTTGGTTGTGAACCACGTAAGTGACAATGAAATCATTGACATGTCCTCTCAAACAGAGGAGAAAGTGATATATCTGATGGGATTAAAAGTGATGTCTGATGAGGTTAGTATTCTGGATATGAATGTTGTATAAAATAGGGGGCTTGATGGTACTAGGAATCTAGAGATATAAATTACCTAAGAGAGAAATCATTTGGAGGTTAGGAAATCAGGTACTTATACTAACGCGTAGGAGGGAGGACCCCTCCTATTGGCATTAGCATTATAAAGGTTTCCAGAGGGTTGACTTTTCACACTTTGCTTTTTCCAAACTCAAAATCCGTAGATGATTTCAGGAAGGAACATAATACTTAAACCTATATTAGAGCATATAGACTTGCTTTCGGCCGTGACCTACAGATAATGAAGTTAGATGGTGGATAGAGTCATTGTCATTTGCTCATACTTAAAAGTCATTTTTTTTCATCTTTATACATCAGATCAACAATGGAATGAGATGACCGGAAAAATGGTGAGACTCTTAAGGATCACTTCTGTAGGTAGATCAGAAGACACTAGAGATTGGCTCTAACATAGGTCCTTCTTCTGACTGGGGGTGCTACTTCTGAAAGTGACAAAATATTGTGTAGTGCGTACCACATATATGTTTTCCCCTACACGAGTTTCTCTTCTCATGAAAGGGGGCCAAACTCCCTTTCAATGATTTTAACATAGGGGTTATTAATCACATGAGACTCGCCTTATCATAACTGCATTTTGTGAGTTGGACACATGGTTTTATGTGTTATATAAGTAATCATGTTTATTGTGGTTCTACATCTTCAAAAAAATTTAATGATGACAACTAAAAAATAAAAAATAAATCTCAAGCATCATCAATCAAAAAGGAAGCACACGATAAATTGTTCAAATTCCAGTTAAATCAAGTTCAATCAAGTAATCGAAAGGAACTGAAGTTGTGAAAACTTGTCTGATCCTGCACTTGATGTTTTATCTGGTAGTTTGATCAATTAAATGTAAATAAAGCAAGAATAGGTATTGAAGTACTAAGGTGATGCATACACGCACCAAAAGTATTTCAAATTTTTCATTTTTTCTTAAAAGTTATTAAAAACTAATATGAGAAAGTACTTAATCAATTAATAAGCTTTCTAGCCAATTAGGAAAACAAAATTCAATTGACTAATTGGTTAGGCCCTTCATAATTGATTAAAATAAGAGTAACGCCTCCTAATTAATCATGTAGCCTTGCAAATTAATCAAGTGACACAACATGTTAGGGTTTCTTTTTTTGGATTAACATTATCGATTAAGTTGATTTCTAATCAATTAGGAAGCAACCAAACTCATAGATTATTGTTTTTTAGCCAAATGTTTTAATATATAAATGAGCTCTTTCATCACTTCTAAACACACCAATTTTATAAGTTATCGACTATCTTATCGTGAGTGAAACTTCCCTGATAGATGTTTTGCATGATGTCAAAACTAAGAAAACTTAGCATTTATGTATATTGGACGATATCTCTATGTCTTGTGGCACTCCCTTGCATTAGAGATCTTAGGAATCATTAAAAACCATTTTGAAATTGACCAAAGTCTTGAAAAACAAGTTTCTGCATAAATGTTTCTTGCATGTGTCAGTACCTACGTGTTTCAGGCCGACACTGCAACTCAATATTAAAACCTATAGCTTCAGTGTGTCATAGTCTGAGACATGCATATATACAGGCTGACACATACTATAACTTTTAATTTTTCTATTATATGTATCGACACAACTGATTTTCAGGCCGACACATGTTCTACAATATTAAAGCAAAAAACTATTGCCTTGCATATTGAAACAATCGGCTGAACAATCAATTGATAATGAAATCAATGGAGTCGCCATTGAACATTTTTTATCCCACAGGAAGGGAAAGGTAAACATAGAGTAAACCCGAGAAGGGTGAAATTAGATCAACTAGGAGATACGGGTAAGGGAGTCTGTTATGTGAGGGGAATATATTAACACCCCACACACCCGTAGTACTCTATGGTATCCACTCATGTTGTTCTAATCAAAGGGTGTGTAAGAATCTATATCTAAACTGTACAGGGAATGCATGCAAAATAAAAGAGAAAATAATATAGAGAAAATAAAAGTTGTGCTCGTTCGGGCTCTACCCCAATGCCTATGTATCCCTTTTAAGGAATCAGAGCGGCCGTAGTTCGGCTTCAAAAGTTTTTTGTTGGTTTGTATTATTAAATGAACAATATTAATTTCGCCTTCTGCTGCAGCTCGGCCTTTGGAGACTCACGCATCAACACAGAAGTGAATTAACATGTTCTTTCTAAATTTTTTGAAATAAAAGCCCGAAGGTGCAAAAGAGTTTGTATTGGTTGATATCTTTTACCTTAAAGAAGGATCTGGAAATCGTTAGGTGTTTTATGCTTTTTCGAGAAAAATAGTTTTAGTCTTAAATGCAAAGATGCAAAAGAAAATAAAACAACTAAGAGAGACTACCCTAAATCTATCCCTAATGTTATCATACAATAGTTGATCCTAAGGTGGAGGATAAAAGGGAAATATATACCTTATGTTAGCATGCATGGATACGTATCCTAATGTCCAGCTCGAAAACTACTCTAATCGAGCGATCCTAAGGGAAGAATACAAATTCCTATTCTAAGGGAACATGGTATAGCAAACACATAAACAAACAAGTGCTTTGGAAAAAGCACACAACCCTGAGTAGCATATATTGACTCAAAGGGATGGAGGAATCAAGAGAAATTCTTTAGCCAAGGGGAGCGTATCACCCGAAGCAAACAAGCGTGAGACAGATGAAAAGAACAAAAGTGCAACGTCCAAACCGACTGAACACCTAACCAAGATATAGAAGATCGAGGTAGGCAACAAAAGACAATATGGACGATCACGAAGTGTTAACATCGGCCAATGCAAACTCCTAACAAAGCGTGGGGGTTTGATTGCAAAACTCTTCCCCACTTGACGGACTCGATACACAAGATCTGCACGACTCCGAAGCATCGACGTACAACGTGAGCTAAGGACGACATAGACTAGAATGTACGAGGGTCGATTACGGACCCTCCCCGCTTACCTCCTTTTGAGGACTTATCATATGTAATATAATGAGGGCACAAATGTAAACACACGTGCAGAATACCTACTTCAAAGGTAGGATTTTAAACAAATACAATTAACATACAAAAAGCAATGCCTGCTACAGGACTTTAAACAGATACTTCGAGCGCACACTCTTTATTTTCTTTTTCCTACTTCTCATTATCTCTAGAAAGCAATAAAATACTGAAATGAGAAAATAGAGAAAATACCAAACGAAAAAAGTTCGTAGCGCTGTGAGCAAAAATAGAGAAACCCGATGATCTTCTCGAAAGCTTCACCGATCAAAGAAAAAAGTCGGAGGTCAAATGCTCGAAATAAAAGTCGAAGCATCATCGATGTGAAAATAAATCATAATTGAAATCTCAAGCACATCTGCATATCGCACAATAAACCTGCATAAGACTCAGATCTCAACAAGCAAAGGTGAATTAGAAATCTCAAGTAATCGGATAATCAGAATTTAATTCCAAAAATCAAATAAAAAAATCTAACAAATTTTTATTGATTTTATTATTTTTGATCAAGTAAAGAAAATTCAAACAAGTCTAAACAATTAACAAAATTAGTTAAAAGGAATTACTAAAATAATAAACAACAAAACACAGCCCAGAGGGTGCAAACTGAATGCAGGGGGTTTGCTGAAGAAATCTGGGCGCTGCAGGCCCATTGAAGAGAAGCCCAGAAATGCCCCTTTTTGTTGAGCTTGCTTATTGTTACAAAAAATGGGTCTTTGGGTTTATGAGGGGGTGCGAGTATAGAGCCCATTCCAACAATAGTTCACCATGCAATTTTTGTTAGCAAGCTCTCTAGCTTCAAAAAGGTCACGTTGGGCTTAATGGAAGAGTGTGATCTGGTCCATTTCAACCCAATCTACCAACAAATAAAAAAACAAAATGCAACGTTTGTTTCCACAAACTGAAATCGAGCCCAACCTCTTCCTTCTCATCATTTTCGAGTCACATGCGTTGGGCACCGCTGTGCCATCATCTCCAGCGGCAGAACAAGGAAACAGTACCACCAATTCCTCCGTAACATCCCCCTCTCTCCAAGTCCCATACAAATTTCACATGAAACCTCTTCAATTGTGCGGATCGAGGAATCAAAGGGAGGAAACCCTAAGTCCTAGAAAATGATAATTCAAGCGATAACCGCAAGGATTCATGATACTTGACGTACACAGAGTGCTATATCGAAAAGGAGCAAGCACCGAAAGTATTAATGGAAACCTGTTCGAAGCTTAGAAATTCTGATATAGTGGCGACGAACTCCGGCGTGTATTTAGAGGTAATTCTGTCAATTCCCTAGTTTTTTTTTATCTTCTTCTGACTCTCGACTCTGAGACTTCTTCTTCTGATTTTTCATTTTCTGTCCGTAATTTGGGTTGCGCTATTGAAGTTGTTGTGGTGTTGTTGTTATAGGTTCGTTGTTGACAAGATTATTTATGACAAGGCGATGATGATGATGCCGCCGTTTCTGAGCTGAAAATGGAGATTCAGTTATAGAATTGATGAAGGTGATGATATAGGATCTGCAAAGACTTTTGTGATATTGATGAAGAAGAAAATGATGATAAGCTGAGAAGAACCATATGAAAATTCAAAAAAGCTTCTGCAGCTTGATGAAGATTATGGCTCCTGAAGGTTGAAGAAGATGATGATATAGGTGATTAAAGCTTCAAGAAGATGCAGAAGAAGGTTACGTTTGAAGAAAGTGAGGGAAATGTAGAAAGTGATGATGGAGAAGGAAGCAGAGAGAGAAGATGGTGGAGAAGAAGTGAAAGGGATGAAGACTGCAGATAAAGAAGAAGGAATATCAGAGTGAAGAGAGCGTTTTTTTGGGATTCTTTTTAGAATTGGAGAGTGGATCCTTATCGAAGGTGAGTTTTTTCTGTTATATAATTTTGTTATGGTTAGGAAGTTAGTTAGAGATGAATAAAATCTGAACTGTTAATGTGAATGTTAGTTATGGATTTTGATGGATGAGATTGGAGGTGGTAGTTAGTTATGTTAAATTCTGTTTTGAGAGTGAGTTGGTTAGAGAAATCTATTATAACTCGGTTAATCAGCTGGCTCTGATAAAAGAAAAGGTTAGTTGCAGTTAGTTTCTAATTCTGTTAGAGAATTACAAATGAAAACAACTGGATGTAAGTTAGAAACATGTTAGTTATGTTATTGGATATGTTTTTGTTAGCCCGTTAGAAATTTGGTTAGGATGAAAAGCTAATTTCTGATTATGCTAGTCCCAATTATGGTTGATTCTGTTTGGTTATTTGATGCAGGCAGCAACAACTTCATTGTAGAATGTGTGGACAGGTTCAAACTGAAGACAAAGGGCTTGAAGCAAGCTTGCGGCTAGTTGGTGTTTGATGCAGTAGGGCGCTACATGGCTTAACGTAAGGTTTTGCTCATGATGTACAAATACAGATCCATTCAAATGCCTTGGAATTTGAAAGTGAAAGGAAGCATGTAAATTGGTTGCGGACTTTTGCGGTATGGTAATCTGACTCTTTGTATTTTTATGCACATGGGCTATATGGTTTAATGGAGGTGAGTCAGTTTTCTTGCAATGCAATCAAAGGGTGCACTGATTTTTATGGACAACTATTTTACTGGCTTATGTATTGCAGGGAAGCTATATCAGTAGTAGGGTGGTTCATGATAACAGTTTTATGGTTTCAATACATGGGCCTATTTCTAATATGTATTGGGATGGCTTTAGATCATGTTTGCAGTCTTTATAGTGAACTAATTTTGAGGTTTTTTTATATGCATGGCAATGCGTCTGTTTATTTATGCAGACTGCGAGTCTGTGTTGGAATTTTAACTAGTTCTATTTAATTAAATGAGCAGGGCTATAGCACGGTTTGCATGGTTTGATCCAATGGTCCATGGTGCAAAGCTAAAACTAGCATGGCATAGTAAGATGCATCGAAATCAGAAGCATGAAGTTTGACACGAAGCTCATAGAATTAGGACATTCGTTAACTTGTAACATTTTTATAGTTTTCTTTGAAACGCGACATAGGTGACATGATTGGTTTTTGGATGTAATTGAATTTTGGTTTATGGCCTTTGATGTAATATATTCATGAGTTGGATTGAAATTGTCACTTTTTATGGAATTTTAAATGGTTGAAAGTGTATATGTTCTAGTTCTTGATATTGTAATAGCCACGGTTGAATCAAGAAAAAAGACTTTGAATTAATTCACTTGTCTTTGAATTTATTCTCTTATGCTTACATCTTCTTAAAATGTATCTTGAATGAATCATGATCTCATCCTTAACCACAAGTTCAAAATCTTCTTTTTATACCTCAAACATATTCCAAATTCTAAGCAAAGTGAACGGATGAATCACTTGTATTATGAGTACATGAAAACCAGGAAAGTTATCCACAAGTCTTGTAACATCTCTTTCAAATATCTTGTTCTTCGAGCAACTTAAGTGATTTATCCTTGAATCACATTAAAAATTTCTATTCTATGTTCATCTTAAATCAATCCTCAATGCAACTCAAGCGTTCATGACAAGTTGAATCTCAGTTAACTTCAAATGGCGTGCTTGATCAATGAACCCATAGACTCAGAATTGAATCTCAAATCCCGAATTCTTGATATCCGAAGCCCATAGTTAACTAGAAAAGAAACTTTGAAACATGATACGCAGACCTCTAATTGATGAAGTAATGAATGGATGATTCCACCGTATCAATGCCATAATCAACCTCTGGGAGCTTCAACGATGAATGTACCTTTGGATTCTGAAAGATAGTTTTAATAAAACCTCAATGGAATCAATACTCTTGTCGAAACCCTTATCCCACATAATAGGAGCAGATGATTCACAAAAGTATATATGCTAAAACCCACACTCTTTTGGATAGAACCAAATGCTTATCACTTAAGAGAAAGTTTCAGATGAAAGTCAAGCTTTTGTAAGAAAATCCAAGAAGTGATGACAAAACTTGTAACATGAGTAATAGATGGATTTCTTTAATTATGAATGAGAGAGACTCAAGATAACTATAAGATGCAACCCTAAATCATGATCCTTGGAGAAGAAACCTTAACCGAACACAGTAGCTGAAAAACCCTGACCTTGGCTGCACATAGGGAAGTAAACCCTTATGGACTTATCTCTTAAGGAAAAAAGAAGTTCAAGGAAACCACATGACACAACCCTAATTCCAAACTTCACTTCTTGCAGAATAACCAGAAGAGTTAGAAGTAATCAACTTTATTAGGTATATACACTTTAATCAATGTGAAACCCTAATATCGCACAACCATTGAACTTTGAACCTCAGACGCTTTATTTTTTTATGAAAATGCATGCTATACAGATGACCCTTGGAATGATGAAGATGAATGCAAAGTCTAAGCCAAAATAATAGAAATTATGAGGGTAAATTTTGGGGTGCAACACATATGCCGACACATCCGCCTTTTAAGGCGGCACATATAATTAGTTTTTGACTTATGTGTCGACACATACATGTTTCAGGCTGGCACATATTGTTTGATTGAGTCAATATTTCAATTCTTTATAATTTTGAAAATTACCTCTTTGCATTCAAACTTCAACAATTATAAATACATCATTCATGCATCATTCCAACTTGATTAAATTATAAGCAGTTACAACAATTTCTCTTCACCTTCAACCTCCAACCTATGCATACGCACTAATAAATCACACATAATCCTTTTTGTTGGGGTTCCATCTTGGCGAGGTTTGATAACGTCCAATTAGTTTCTTGTGTAGCCGAGAATATTGGGTTTAGATTTATAGGGGGTTTCATCCGAAAAAACCACAGGTTTATCCTCCAAGATCTTTGGTAGATTTGGAGGTTTTCGTTCAAGACTTTCAAGAGAGGATTGCGACATAGAGAAAATCCTTCGGAGTTTGGTACCCAAGGAAGTAGCGTGAGAACGATGAATCGAATTGAAAGATCTTGTGTGTAATAGGTACAATTGATCGTGCACAAAAGAGATTTGGAGTTTGGTACCCAAAGGAGTAGCAATATTTGATAAATCAATTGGTATACTATTGTGTCTTGGTCTTTCTCAAGATCAAAAGAAGAGAAGGGGTTGAATCAACGACAAATGATTAGGGTTTGTAAGGTTTCTCTTGGAATGCTTCTCTTGTAACGACTTTTTGCATAGTAAGAAATTGTCTTAATTCCAAAATTGGAAATGGGGGGGAGACATATCCATAGAGAGGATTATTGGAGAACTTCCTAAACAAATCCTCGTGTCTCTTTTTCTTATCGCTTTACTTTCTTTATTTTTCATTAAGCAATTTGTCAAATAACATTGATTAAACGATTGACTCGTAAGAATATTTTCATGGCTGTTTTGTTTGGATTTGGTTGTTGATTTTATTATAATCACTTTGGATTATAAGTGCTTTTTTATATCAACACAACTCAAAGGAAAATCCGGTCGCACACCAAGTGTTTGATAAATTGCATAGTTAGTTATTTTTGCTAGTTACCATTGGAAATAGTATTGCTACTAACTTGTTATAATCGAATAATATTGTGGTACTTGATTCAAGTTTATAAATTCAATTATTATGTTTTTCATTCCATAAGGAACTTGATTTTTCATATCCGAGTTCCAATAGCTATGTTCATATAGATGATATTTTTGATATATATTAAAACCTTCTGTGTGCACTATTTTCAATCAATTTTTAAAACCAAATTTTATTTGGATTTTTTGGCTTGGTGATCTATTCACCCCCATATAGATAAGGCACCATCGTCTAACTAGTGGCATCAAGAGGTCTGGTTAATTTCATGCTTTAAAACTTATTAGAAAATGGCTTACGAACCTAAAGGGGATTATAAAAGAGCCCCAAATTTAACTGGAGAAAACTATAGTTATTGGAAAACTTGTATGCAAATTAATGTAAAATCATATGATAAAGGTGTGTGGGAAGCCATTAAAAATGGTCCAACACCGGTAATATATGAGGTTGAAGGCGTTGTCACACCAAATCCATAAGCACTTTGGAATGAGGAAGATAATAAGAAGTGAGCACATGATTGGAAAGCGAAAAATATTATCATATCCGCTCTTGGTGTTGATGAGTTTTATCACATTCCCATTGTCAGATTGCTAAGGCTATGTGGGATACTCTACAAGTTATCTATGAGGGAACTAATAAGGTCAAACAAGCTAGAATTAATAAACTTAATCAAGAGTTTGAAATCTTTCACATGAAACATGGTGAAACCATTACTAAAATGTAAAAGTGGTTCTCGCATCTTATTAATCGTTTAAATTTGCTAGGTAATCCTATTTCCAATGACATTTCTACTATCAAGGTTTTGAGATGTCTTACTAGGAATTGGCAACCAAATGTCACGATGATAAAGGAAGCCAATTATCAGTCAACACTTGATCTCACCATTTTGTTTGGAAAGTTGGAAGAAAACGAGCAAGAACTCACTTGCTTGGATAAACATGAAAAGAAGCTTGCGAAAAGGAAGAAAAAGGAGAAAAACATCGATATGGAGGAAGGAACAAAGTATAAAGCTCTTAGGGCTTAAAGTTTAAGATCCTCAAAGGATGAGCACACTAATGATAGTGATTCTTGTGATGAAGAAGATTCGGATGATGAGTAAATGGGATCATTTGTGAGGAGATACAATCGATATATTCAGAAGAATGGTGTCAAACGCTCTGACAAAAATCTTGTGAAATATAGAAGACAATCTACATCCTCCAAAGATGAAGATAACAAAAAGGATAATATAAGAGATATGTGATATGAATGGGGAAAGCCGAGTCCTTTTAGACCGAATTGTCCATCTTTTGTTAATAAGAAAGGAAAGGGCCAACAAAATAACTCTAGGAAATCTAGAAAAGTCTATGTTGCTTGGGATAGTGATAGTGATGCCTCAAGTAATGAAAGCTCAAGTGATAGCAATGAAGAGAAACATTATTGTTTAATGTCCAATCAACATCAAATCAAGAAAAATAATGTAAGTCATTCTAAATACTCTAATGTTGATAAGTTGTTTTTTATTGAATTCAAAAATATTTTTGAAAATCTACAAAAAGATGCATTGCATGCTTATAAGAAATTAGATTCCAATGAATTTTTTTTTACATACTTGGAAGAAAAGGTGAAGAAACAAATAATAAATTTTAAGCATTAAAGTGATCTATTATATATAGTTAAAATCATAAAAAGGAGGATGAGGAACCATGTTGGTTCGACTGTGAAACTTGTCAAATTTGGCAACAAGAGGCGAGTACTTTTGAAACCAAAGTGGACAAGGTATCACAACCTTGTGTTACTTTTTCTATTAATTCTTCAAAGTTTAAAAAGCCTTATAAAAAGTATAATTTGATCAATAATGATTCAAATGGAAAAATTAAATCTTATCATAGGTTTCTTTGTCACTATTGTTGCAAGAAAGACCACACTATTGAAAAATGTAAATTTAGGTGCTTCTAAGTCCCTAAAGGAAATTTTCAATGGTTTCTCAAATTCAACAATTCTTTCACTCACTCCCAAGGACCCAATGAGAATGGGTACCTACCACTTTTGTTTAATATTGTAGGTTGAGTGTCTTGAAAATATGACAGGTAAATGGATTCTTGATAGTGGATGTTGAAGACACATGACGAGAGACATATCTCTATGCTCTGACTTTATGGAGAAGAAAAAATGTTATATATCCTACAATGATCACAACAAAGGTGCAATACTCGGAAAATGTAATATAGTTAATCTCTCAACTATTACTATCTCAAATGTTATTTTAGTTTAAGGCCTTAGAAATAGTCTTTTTAGCATTAGTCAATTGTGCGACAATGGGTATAAGGTAACTTTTACCAAATATTGTTGCATAATAGAACATAATGAAAAGAAGGATTGTATGTTTAATGGTGTGAGGGTAAATAATATCTATATGCTTGACTTAAGAGAAGTT